AAGTAACATTTCATACTCCTCATAATGTCAAAACTTAACAAGTCTAAAGTATCTGGAAGGTGAGAAAACAGACCCTTTAATCCATTACTGATACAAACACTCTGGAGAGAAAACTGGTAGTTATCAAATGAAGTTGACGAAGCAGCTCCTACCCTGTGTTCTAGCAATCTACTACTAGATTTATATCCCAGGGCAATCATTCTCAATAATGGCTTTTTAGTTGTTGTAACGAATGGGGGGTACTACTGTATAGATACCAGGGACACGAGGCACACTTGGTATGTAAAGATAATGCTGTGACACGTCCCATGACTTTTGAACATTCTGCTGGACACTCATTTAAGGGAACAGAAGGAAAAAATAAGGTCAGATATTAATAAATAGGATTTAATACAAAGTATATTTGTATTGTTTTAATATAGGTGAAGATTTTAAAGAATGCAACCCTTGTGTAAAGAGAGAAGACTGCACTTTTATTTTTGTTCCAACTTTACTGAAATTAGTTATTTCAGAAACTCCCTTATCAGTATCAGTGCCTCTGTTGGTATTTGAATGGCCAATTCAACACACCTGTTTAATGTGCTTTAGCAGCTGTCCTATTCATGGTGATCCTATCAGTGCAAAGTATCTGACTACTACTATTTCTTCTAGCAGTGCTTCTTAGACTTTAAGGTGCACTCAACTCACCTGGGAATCTTGTTAATATTCAGCACCTGAATCACTAGGGTAGGGCCTGAGGTTCTGATTTCTAACAAGCTCCCAGAATTCTAATGTTACTGATCTACTATCACACTTGGTAGCAAGATTACAGTGTGGTTGAGCCTGAGCATTGACACAGTGCAATATATTACTTTGTTATAAAATTACTTCTTTATTTTAGTCAGGGCATTACTTTATTTAAAATATGAATGTAAGTTTATTATTATGAATTTCATTTTAACAGTATTGGGGAAGTTGTAAAATATTTCTTTAAAAATGGGATATAGGTTCAAGAACCACTACCCTAGAGGAAGCCTAGCACATGCACCTAAGTAAACATATACCGGAATATTCCCTACGCACTGTTTAATAAGCAAACAATTGGAAACAACTAAAATGACCAACAGAAACCTGATACAGTCACATAATGAAACACACACCATACGACAGTAAAAATAAACTAGAGCTACCTGAATAAACATAGATAAATCTTGGCATGATCAGTGAAGAAAGCAAGCTACAGATACAAAATTCATATTTAAATAGTCTTAAACCAATCAAAGAACAACCATATAGGGTTCATGGATATAAAGGAATGTAGTAAAGTATAAACGGAAGGACGCATGTTAGCGGTTGGGAGTGGGGAAAGAGGGAATAGGATTTAAGAGGTGTACCAAGTACAGAGGAAGCTTTGTTTTGTAGTTTTAACTTTCCAACTGGGTATTGAGTGCATGAATATTCATTATATTGTATATTACCAATACTTACATTGCTATATTATTTCTCACTTCACCTCAGTTGGTGAAAACTCTTGGGCCTAGACAGCTGTTTGGAAAATACTGCTCCAAAGCAAAGATTTAGGACTAGAAGTCAGAAGACCCAGATTCAAGTCTCAGTTCTGGTTCTTACAAATTGTGTAGCTTTAGGCAATTCAAATAACGAACTTCTCTAGGCTTTATTTCATCTGTAATAAAGTCATAAAGCATCACTTTTCCTCTCCAACTCACAAGGCTGGGTTTTAGAGCCATATTGCTATGTGAGAAATCTTTAATAGGATAGGAAAGGTAGGAGTAATTTTTGAGAAGAGCAAAACCTTGGCTATATTAGAAATAAAATCTATCAGTAAACAAACCAAGCAAGTCTATCTGTCAGTCTATTTTCTTGTCATCACTGATTCTAAAAATATGACACCAAATTATATTTTCTTAACAATGGAGAAATTTTGAGTTTATCACTTCCTAAGTGATGGCATATGGATAGGCAGTCTCCCTATTATAACTGTTTCTTTATCATAATTATTCACCAAGGAACTGAAATTCATGACACCAAAACAAAAGTGCATTAAAAAGTACTCTTATTAACTAAAACAATCAATGTCACTTAACCAGAGGAACTGTTGGTTCTCACTGCCCTTTCTACATAGTGAGCAGATGCACATTTTATTAGTCCTATATTACAGATGGAGAAACTGACTCAGGTGTGGGATAGCTTGCCTGGAGCTGTAGACCAATTCAGTGACAAAACTTGGAACAGACACTAACTGCCTAGTTCTTCTGTGTTCATTAAACTACCAAAAACATTACTTTGCCGTAATGCTTCATGGCAATTCTGTATGTCACAGGAAATGGAAAATTCTTTGTCAGATGTCATGCACATTTCAAAATGGGCAAAGATACTCAAGGAAACAAGCCACTTATCAACTACAGTAATGCACAGCAAGTGACAAGATTAAAACTGCCTAGGCCTGCTAAAAATCTAATCCTATCCTTGACAATTAACCTTATTAATTCTACAGCAGGAGAAAAGAGAGGTCAAAATATAGGTGAGGGTCTCCTCCTGGATCTCAAGTAATATAGCAATTATTGCACAACAGGGACCTTATTCCTTTTATAAGGTGAAACATCTCTATCTCCACTGCTCTTCTTTAAATAAGCCTCCACCCCTACTCCCAACCAAAGAGCTGGGCACCCAAATTAGAACACTGGCAATTATGATAATTATCAAAACATTGGCTCTGATTAGATATTAGATAAATCACCAAATGAGTTTATGCTATAAACATATGAGACAAACTCTTTATAGAGAAAAGTTCATTTTACTGTAAGTCTTCTTGTTAATGTAAACAGGTGAATGCTCTTACAACATGTACCTGACTTTTTACTCAGACTCATTACCTAATGACTAGTAGTTTTAAATGGCGCGAGATTTCCAAACTTTTTATTTATTGGAGCCTTAAAACAAAATCAATGAATTATCTTACGGATCAAGTACTGCATATTACAGAAAAGTTTTAAACATGAATACCTTTTTGTAAGCTAACAGCCGAAATTTAAAGGTCACCCTCCCTGTATTCCGTTACTCATCCTTCTGCTTAACAAATCCACTTCACGCTGACTTACATCTATGCGTCATTTTAAAAAGTTATATCCTGGTGTTGGCAGAAATCTCGATGGATCAAAGCTCTGAACATTTCTTTCTTTTCTTTCTTTTTTTTGAATAAGAAGCCAGGGTTAAACTCTCTTCTTTACAAAAGCCCTTCACAACAGTACAATCTAACTCGACAGTACAATCTAACTCGACAATCTAACTTTTCGTTTCAGGGTTAAAAAAAATTCCAAAGAAAAACTCTAATTTTTCAATTCAAAAACAATTCCTGATGAGCCTACCCTAGAGTTCGAAAACAAGTAAAGAGTTCAACCAACGAGAGAAAACCACCCTACGGCGGCGGACCAGAATACACAAATCACCAAGCACGGTGCAGATTCGAGCTAAAGTCTAGGCTGGCACACACGAGGACATCCAGGAGACAGCCTTCAGGCGTCGCGACTCTCACAATGAGCCAGGGAGCGAAATGTGAACCTGGACCCATCTTTCCGTCCACAGGGAGAATAGCAAAGGAATGAAATGAGGCCCTTCTTTGAAAGGAGGACCCAAGACCTTTGCCAGTCCGTCTGTCCGTCCCTCTCCCGCCCCCAGACTCCCGCAGCCTCACCGACTGCGAAGACTTTCCTACCTCTCCCCTTCACCGAACCAACAGAGAATCTTCTCAAAAACCCAGACGCGATCGGGAGTGGCTTCTCCGCCTTTGCCGGCGCCGAGAGGCATCCCAGTCGCCAACAACAAAGACGCCTCCCGCTCCCCTCCCCCCGCCCGGCCCGGGCTCGTCCCTCCCGCGCTGCTGCTCCGGGCCTAGCGCCCCCTCCCCGAGCCCAGCCGCAGCGCCCCGGCCCCCCGCGGCCCCACGCACCTGCACCTGAGGGCCGCAGCCAAGGCGTCAGGCAGAAAGGGCCGGGAGAGAACCTCTGCCGCCGCGCTGTCCTCTACACGGCGCGATCCGCGCGCTGCTGCCGCCGCCCGACTCTCCCGGCCTGCGGGCGGGCCCGGCCAAAGAGGGGGGACGAGGGCGGCAGCCCCCGGCGCCGGGACGAGCAAGGACGGCGGAGCCCGAGTGGGCCGGCTCGCGCTCCCGAGTCTCGCCTCGCGCCGGCCCTGCTCCTCCACACGGGTTCGCGTTCTGCTGACTAACGGCCCCGGCGCCAGGCGCTGGAGCGGCCGCCTCCGCCGCCGCCGTCGGCTGCTGTTGGGCCTCACGTCCCGCGCGGCCGTGGTCGCAGCTGCCGCAGCCGCCGCCACCTCCCTTTCTGGCACTGCAGACACCACCCAGACCCAGCCAGGTCTTTCTTTTTAATCCTCCTTTCTTTGCTCCCCTTCGGCCTGCCGGCAGCGGGGTTCGCTCTCGTGGCGGGAAGGAGGCTGGAAAGGAAGCCAAGGGCTAGCAGAGAGCCCACTAAGCTAAGAGTTGGTCACTGACTGAAGGAAAGTGCCAAGGCTGACCCGGACTCCAGCCTGCAAGCGGGCCGGGGGTTGGACGCAGTCCAGTTTAGCCCGACTTCCACCAATCACAAGCCGCCCAGAGGAGTAGGGCGCCCGGAGAGGCCGAGCTGAGTCGGAAGGAGGCGGGGATTGCGGAAAAGAAGAGCCAATAGGAGCAAAGTTTTCCCTCCCCTCCACTTGGACGGACTGCCACATTCGGACCAATGGGGGAATTCTCACTTCGAAGAAAGTGGGATTTTTCGCCGGGTTTGAGAAAGAGGCTTCGCGGATGGGGAGGGGTAGAGACTGGACTGAGTAAAAGACCCTTGCTGGAGCTGAAGGGCCGAAAGGTGTCCTTTGACCTCCTCGAGGAGTCACGTGGGATGCCGGAGGCGGAGGCAGAAATGCTGATTAAGTTCCTTCCGGGTCAGAGACAGAAGCGTGAATTCCGTGCAGATAGTTCCTGGTATCCTAGGCTTGTGTGCATCTTCCTTGTCCCAGCTCGAGGTGGTTGTGGTTTCGGCGATGAGCTCCCAGAAAGGGAACGTGGCTCGTTCCAGGCCTCAGAGGCACCAGAATACGTTTAGCTTCAAAAATGACAAGTTTGATAAAAGTGTTCAGACCAAGGTAGGAACCTGCCTATTGCACTAAATCTGACTCCAGGGGGAGGAATGGTTCAGTGGAAGTGAGAGCAGTTGGCCAGGGCAAATGTGGACCGCAGCCCGGAGTTAGTTTTGGCTGCAGTGTAGCCTTTTCTTTGACCTGGATGTGTTGTCTCCTTGTAAATATATTTGGCGGTCAACATTTGACTAATTGTACTGAATGAACGGGACCCTCATCAAACCTAAAATGCAAAGGGAAAATTGAGTCGTTGAACGCTCCCATGTGGATTACATATTTGCAGTAGGAAAACGAGGATTATGACGCTAGTGTCTTTTTCAAATGTTGCACCAGGTTTATGCAGTCACTTTCTTTTTGGAAAATCCCAGGCCTATAGGTTTGTAGGGAGAATGTGAAAGCTCTTAAGCCCTCTTAGCCCCAGTGTCCACACCAACATAATTGGAATTTCTCTCTCGTTTGTAAGATTGTTTTGAGAATCAAATTATTTGATGAATGCAAAACTGCTTGTTTTGCTGTTTATATTTCTTTAGCAGATTTCTTTAAGCTGGAAGGAAATTCAGACTGTGTAGATAGCCAGAGGTCTTGGGTTGTATACAGCTACTAATTTGCTGTTAGGTATTTCTCCCTCCTCACTTAGCTGTATGGAGGGGAGATAATTGAAGACAAGAGCAGCTTGGGGGCAGCCCCCATCACATCACATAAACCTGACGTTAACGTAAACTGGAGCTCAAATTTGCTAGGTGTGTGGCTTAAGCAAGTTATTAAATATTTAATTTCTCTGAGTCTTACTTTGGTCTCAAATGAGAAAAACACCTGTATCGTTGAGAGGTTAAATGATGTATATAAATGATCTGGATCATTAGTGTCCAACAAGTGATAAATTTCCCAACATTGGCTACGGCAAGAAAAGTAACTTTTTTTTTTTGGCTGCGTTGGTTCTTTGTTGCTAAGTGCGGGCTTTCTCTAGTTGCAGCGAGCCGGGCTACGCTTCGTTGCGGTGCGTGGGCTTCTCATTGCGGAGCACGGGCTGTAGGCGCGTGGGCTCAGTAGTTGTGGCTTGCGGGCTCTAGAGCGCAGGCTCAGTAGTTGTGGCACATGGGTTTAGTTGCTCCGCGGCATGTGGGATCTTCCAGGACTGACGATCGAACCCGTGTCCCCTGCATTGGCGGGCGGATTCTTAACCACTGCATCACCAGGGAAGTCCCAAAGTGACAGTTCATGGTAACCAGTGACTTCCTTTTTCTTTCCTCTTTCTGTCTTCACTATACAGATATATAATGAGCATCTTTCATGTACAGGGTCCCATGTGCATGTGTATACAGTGTTCAAGAGTTGACTCTGCCTTCAAGGAACTTATGGTTTTCTGGGTCATGGGACAATAAGCACAGAGATATATAATTATAAATTATGATGAAGGGAAGCACAGTTGAGTAAAGCAGAATAAGGAGGGATATTTTCAGTTGGGTGCTCAGAGGACCTCTCCTTTCCCTTAATTAGGTTCAGATCAGAAGGAAAACCTGGAGCAACGTTTGGGAAGACTTTCCCAAGTTTGTGCCTGTCATCAATAGGTAAACCAGTGTAAAAAAGCTGTGCTATTCCAAATAGATGTCCATCTTGCCCTGTATTCTTTTTTTTTTTTTTTTTAACATCTTTATTGGGGTATAATTGCTTTACAATGGTGTGTTAGTTTCTGCTTTATAACAGAGTGAGTCAGTTATACATATATATATGTTCCCATATCTCTTCCCTCTTTGTCTCCCTCCCTCCCACCCTCCCTATCCCACCCCTCCAGACAGCCACAAAGAACCGAGCAGGTTTCCCTGTGCCATGCGGCTGCTTCCCACTGGCTATCTACCTTACGTTTGTTAGTATATATATGTCCATGTCTCTCTCTCGCCCTAACACACCTCACCCTTCCCCCTCCCCATATCCTCAAGTCTGTTCTCCAGTAGGTCTCTGTCTTTATTCCTGTTTTACCCCTAGGTTCTTCATAACATTTTTTTTTTCTTAAATTCCATATATATGTGTTAGCATACGGTATTTGTCCTTCTCTTTCTGACTTACTTCACTCCGTATGACAGACTCTAGATCTATCCACCTCATTACAAATAGCTCAATTTCGTTTCTTTTTATTTGCCCTGTATTCTTACTCTACGTTTTTTCACAAGCATTTACTGCTGATTGTTTTTCATCAGGTGATAAAAAGCAGTTTTAATAAGTATTTAGCTACAGTGTCGCTTACTGTGCTTGTTGTCCTTTAAGTACAGGACTTCTTGAACTTGTACTCCTTGTTCTAGTACTTCGTCCTTCATCGTGCATTTTCTGGTGTTATCTAACAACCATGTCCTTATGGTCTGAAATGTTTTCATGAGTCTCAAGTTCAGTCCCTAAGTTTCATTTTGTTTATCACTTTTATCATTAATTCCTTTGTCTCTTTTAAATAGTGAGGAAGTCTCATTCGTCCATTGGTAGAACCACCAGGTGCTTTGTTATTGGGGGTTCTAACAAAAACAGCAAGAAATATTTTACTGAGGAAGATCATTAGGTTGATTGTTCATCTGTCTGATGGAGGACTAATAATTGGCTGCATTCATGGCAAATTTTTGAACCAGCTATGTGTAGCTGTCTAAAGCCAAGATTTTGTCAGAAGCATCTGACCCTGTCTTCATTCCTGTGCTTTATACCAGAAACATGTTTGATTCAGCAACATCTAATAAAGGAGTGGTAAGATGTGCATGATTCTCTGTAATCTCCTTGAAGGATTGTAGTAACAATTAACTACTTGTACCTCATTATTTTGGGATAGTCTTGCATGATGGTTCTCCATCTCCTCGTCTGCCAAGCAATTTGTCAGGACTGAAATTAGAAGTTGGATAATGACATCTGTTTTATTGGAAAGTTTATCTAAGGAAAGCACCCGCTCCCAAAAAGACACAGGTGATAACTGTCTTCATATACTTGAATATATTCCAGAAGAGGAGAGAAGCTTCGCATTCCAAATGGCCAAACTTGAACCAACGGGTCAAAGTAAAAGAGATAGGTTTCAGCTCAATATAAGGGAATTGTCTTAATAGTGAGGAGCATGCACTAGAATTTTGTAACCTCCGCGTCACTGGGGTTATTAAAAGAAGCCTCTATGGCCATTGGCCTGCAGTGCCCACTCATGACTTGCAGAGGTGAGGTGGAGATGGGAGTAGGTTTAAATCTCTTCTAGTCATTTGGTACTAAAATACTGATTGTATCAATATCAGGCTTGTGTCCCTTATTGGAAAGGCAGTAATGTGTAGTGGAAGGAACACTGGACCAAGAAAAAAGAGCCACATTTTAGCCCCAGGTCTGTTGTTTTTTTTTGCTTTGTGGAAGCATAAAGCATATGACAATTTACGTAGACTTGCAGTTGCTCAAAGCTTAAAAAATTAGTTAGAAAAGAAATACATGTTTGTTGAAGAATATTGAAACAACAGAGAAATGTATAAAGTGTAAAAGTGAAAGTACCTTTTTCCAGGCCTGTTCCTCTTCAGATGTAGTCACCGTTAAGAGTTAGATGTGTATGTTTTTAGACATCTAAGCACAATATAGTACATATGAAATAAAATGCATTTCTCCTTTCTCATTTAGAAAAATGAGTATGTCAGAACATAGAGATTAAGCTCATTCTTTTTAATGGGTGTATAATATTCTATAATATATATGTAGAGTAGCTTATTTAATTACTTTCCTATTAATAAACATTTGAATTGTTTTCAATTTTTCACTATGACAAATAAAGTTGCAGTGAATTCTTGTATTCACATATTTGTTCCATGTCAGTTATTTGGTACCAGACATTGTGGTAGATACTAGGGGTATAAGGTATACAGCCATGCCTTTAATTGAAGCTTATAGTTTGGTGGGCAAGGTGACAGGCATTAATCAAATAATCTTTTTGAGTATGTTAATACAAATGGCAGTAAGAGCTAGGAAGGAAAAGTCTAAGGGAACCTTGAGAGTATCTAGCAGGAAGTCTTGATTAAGTTTGGAGGGTTTAAGAAGGCTTCCCTGAGGTCTGAAGGATGGATAGCATTTAACTAAATGAAATGGGAAGAGCATATATTATCTTCTTAAGGATGCTGTTTGTTTCATATGTGTAGTCAGCATTGTTTTTACTAGCATGTCTGAAAGTGTTAGAGCACCAGGATCACAGGATTTTGTTAGGGCAGAAGTCAATTTCGTGGTCAATACTAGATCTCACTTTTAGGGGGTCATAGTGTACATTAGCATAAAACACTTAGATGTTTTGCAGTTTAAAAAAAAATTATTTAGCCAAAACTTCCCTGGCTGTGGACTTTGGTTTACATAATACCAGTTGAATGTGAATTAATTTTGGGGGGAACACACTCTTTTTGGGAAACTCTTGTTACTACCTTGAAATGGAAAAGGAAAAGGAAAATCTGAGGTTATACTGTCTAAATAGTTTTGGAAATAAAGTTTTGTTAATAATAGCTAATGCTATGTACTTAAGTGTGTTAGCATCTGTGAATACTTGATATGTATTATCTAATTTGATCTTCAAAAATAACCCTAAGACAGGTGCTACACTTATCCCATTTTGCATCTTGGGAAATTAGGACTCAGAGGTGAATGATGTGCCCAAAGTTACATTAATAGCATGTGGCTGGCTATCCATTGATTAGGTGTAGCCTGTGCTGGGAGACCTTAAAGAACGGGTAAATTAAAAGTCCCTTTTTGTGTCTGTGTGTTGGTTGTTGTTTTTGAATACTGTGTTTTTGTCTATAATAGAAGCAATGTGACACCAGATTAGGGTTGGAACAGAGATGAGCTTTATTGACACTACCGCTAAACACTACCTATTTGAAATGTTCCGGGGAAAGTCTCTTCTCATAAAGTGTGGCCTCCTGGAGTGTCACATATCACAGATATGGGCTGGTTGGAGCAGGTCCCATCTAATCAGCCAGGGCTCTGTAGCAGGGGTGGGGCTCCTCACTCATTTTGTGTGAAAGCAGATG